CCTCGGCTTCCTGGTGGGCTACATCGCCCGCAGGCAGATCCTCACCGACCTGCAGCTCGGCGGTACCGTGCGGCACCGGGACACACCCCCCCCCCTCCTCCTCCTCCTCCTCCTCCCCGGCCCCGGCTGGGAGGGGAGGGCCTCGTTCCTCACCCCCCTGCTCTGCCCCCAGCCGCCCTGGAGTACCTGAGGAGCCATCCCCTGGAGCCCCTGGACACGGGGGACTTTGAGCGGGCCTGCGGCGTGGGGGTGTGTGTCACCCCCGAGCAGATCGAGGAGGCGGTGAGAGGCGGGGAGGGGTGGGGGGGGGGACACAGCACGGGAGACGGTGGGATGGGATGGGCTGGCAGCCCCTGGCGTGGTGCTCCCTGCCCGCCTGGCTCAGCCCCGTGTCCCTGTCCCGCTGCCCAGGTGGAGGCTGTGATCGGCGAGCACCGAGCGGAGCTGCTGGCCCAGCGCTACCACTTCAACATGGGGCTGCTGATGGGTGAGTGTGGGGCAGCCCCCGACGGGCGCTCCTGCTCCCCTGGATCCTCAGAGCCAACCCTTTGCCCTGGGTTGCCCCGGCCCCACTGGCTGCATGGCTGTGCCACAGCCCACCCAAGGCAGGGGAGATGTCCTGCCGTGTCCCCCTACCACAGGCAGGGCTGTAGGTGGCAGCTGCCGGTGGTGCCCTGTGCCGGGGACAGCCCTGGGGCAAGGGCTTGCCTCCAGCCACTGGCCATGGCATCCTGCATCAGTGGCCCTGGCTGAAAGCCCCCGGGCTGGGCCGTGCCCCTCACCCACGGGGTGCCCTGTCCGCAGGGGAGGCGCGGAGCCGGCTGCGGTGGGCAGACGGGAAGACCATCAAGAATGAGGTGGACCTGCAGGTGGGTGCGAGGGCAGCGGGTCAGGCATGGGGTGATGTCTCCTGTTGGCGCCATGCCCAGTGTGGGACCTGCTGGTCTGTGCCACGGGAGGGTCCAGCACTGGGGACAGCTTGCTCCAGGCAGGGTGATGGAGGTGACATCTGGACAGGGCCACCTCCAGGCCTTGGGGCACTGGGAGCCTTTTCTACCCCTACCTGTGTCTCTCTTTCCCAGGTGCTGCATTTGCTGGGGCCAAAGACAGAAGCTGACCTGGAAAAGAAACCAAAGGTGATGTGGAGGCAGGAGGCTGGGAACTGGGATGGCATTTCCCTGCTGAGTGTCTGGGCAGGATCCCAAATTGCTGCTCTGGGCCCACCCGCCACCACGGGCATGGGTCTGAGGGAGCTGTGGGGGGCAGCAGGCTGGGTCGGGAGGGGAAGGTTTGGGTCGGTGCTGGGCACTCAGGATGCTGTGCTGGTCCCTGCAGGCTGCAAAGACCCGTCCGGCCACGGCGGAGAAGCAGAAGGCGGCTGTGGTGGAGAATGGTAAGAGACCATCTCACAGGCAGCTTCCCCATACCTTCGGTTCCTGGCCGGGACCCACCTGGGAGATGCCATCATCCCCATCTTTCCCTGCAGGTGAGGTGGGCACAGAGACACGGTCGCTCCTGGAGCAGCTGCGGGGAGAAGCCCTCAAGTTCCACAAGCCGGGTGAGCGCAAGGAGCCACTGCCACATGCAGGGCCTGGCCCCAGCTCTCTTCCCCACGTCCTTCCCTCCTGGGCTTGGCTCAGTCTGGTCGGTGCTGCAGCCCTGAGCATCCTCTGCCCGCAGGAGAGAACTACAAGACGGAGGGCTACGTGGTGACCCCCAACACCATGGCTCTGCTGAAGCAGCACCTGGCAATCACGGGTGGGCAGGTGAGGTGGTGTCCCCCAGCCCAGCGGTTCCCTGCGAGGGTGCCATTGCTGTGCTGGGCTCCGGCCGGGTGCGTGGGGTGGCTGGGGGGACACACAGCTCACTGGGGGCATGGCCAGAGATGGCACCCTCCTGGCACAGGGAGCCCTGTGGGATTGTCGGGGGCTCATGTTAGTGCCTCTGCTGTTGGGGAGGGGGGAGATTCTCCTGCTGAAGGACAGAGATGTCTCCTTTTCCCCCTGCAGGTGCGGACACGGTTTCCTCCTGAGCCCAACGGGATCCTGCACATCGGCCACGCCAAGGCCATCAACTTCAACTTTGGCTATGCCAAGGTGAGAAGCACCAAGCCCTGCTGGCAGCTCCCCCCAGCCCCTGCCTCCCCCCTGCTGGCTAGTCCTGTGGTCCCTCAGGGAGCAGCTGCTCACCATCCCCTCATCCCCAGGCCAACGGTGGCGTGTGCTTCCTGCGCTACGACGACACCAACCCCGAGAAGGAGGAGGAGAAGTACTTCACGGCCATCCGGGAGATGGTGGAGTGGCTGGGTACGGCTCGGGCTGGGGAGGGCAGGATCAGGCCAGGTCCTGACACCTGTGCATGCAGGTTCTGCAGCTGGGTCCTGGGGGTGCCTCCAACACGCTGTGTTTCCCCTGTCCCTGCAGGCTACCAGCCCTACGCAGTGACCCACGCATCAGATTACTTTGACCAGCTCTACACCTGGGCCCTGGAGCTCATCCGCAGGTGAGCGTGCCGGGGTGGTATGGATGTGCCGGGGTGGCATGGATGCCCTGTGCCACATCTGGGGCTCCCTGTTGCCCAAGGGATGGGCTGCTCATGTCTGGTGACGGTGTTTCCCCTCCGTAGGGGCCAGGCGTACGTCTGCCATCAGAAGGTCGAGGAGATCAAGGGCCACAACCCACCGCCCTCACCATGGCGGGACCGGCCTGTGGAGGAATCGCTCCTGCTCTTCGAGGTACTCCTGGCTGGGGACAGGCTCTGTGTGTCCGTGTGGTCTGGGTCTGTGGCTCAGCTGACAGCTTCCCTCCCCTCCACAGGACATGCGGAAGGGCAAGTTTGGGGAGGGGGAGGCCACGCTGCGGATGAAGCTGGTGATGGAGGATGGGAAGATGGACCCCGTCGCCTACCGCGTCAAATTCACTCCACACCACCGCACTGGGGACAAGTGGTAGGGGTCTGTGGTGTCACGGCAGGGGTGGGCCTGAGTCTCCTGGGAGTGGGGAGGTCACAGGAGGGGAGCAGCACCGGGCTCTGCCCCAGGGCTGACTGCGTCTGCCTTGCAGGTGCATCTACCCCACGTATGACTACACACACTGCCTCTGCGACTCCATCGAGCACATCACACACTCCCTCTGCACCAAGGAGTTCCAGGCCAGGTGAGCGCTGGGCATGGCACAGCTCTGGGGGGGATCAGCTGGCGGCTGCCAAAGCACTGGGGGATGCTGTGTCCGTGTGACAGAGTGTCCGTGGGGCTGTGGGCTGAGCCGGGCTGTGCCTGTGCCTCCCTGGCAGGCGTTCCTCCTACTTCTGGCTCTGCAACGCGCTGGATGTCTACTGCCCCGTGCAGTGGGAGTACGGGCGCCTGAACCTGCTCTACACCGTCGTCTCCAAGAGGAAGATCATCCGGCTGGTGGAGACGGGTGCCGTGAGGTAGGAGCGGGGCCAGCAGCCAGTGTGGGTCCTGCCTGGGGCAGGCCTGGCTGTCACACCCGTGTTTTCTGTCAGGGACTGGGATGACCCACGCCTCTTCACACTGACAGCCCTGCGCCGGCGAGGCTTCCCCCCCGAGGCCATCAACAACTTCTGTGCCCGGGTGGGTGCTGGGGACAGGGTGGGACAGGGCAGGT